GAGTGGTAAGATGTTGTGCGGATCATCACATTAAACAACATACTTCACTGCTGGTTTTCAAGACCCTCTATACTTTTGGGTTTCAACCTTGCGGCAGTACTCCCCAGGTGGAGTGCTTTCATCTTCATTTTTAGACTGATATTACCAATCTAAAGCACTCATCGTTTACGGTATGGACTACACAGGTCTCTAATCTGTTTTGCTCCCCATACTTTCGTACCTCAGCGTCAGTATTTAGTTAGAAAGAAGCCTTCGCCTTAAGCGGTCTTCTGAGGATCAATAGATTCCATCCTTACTCCCAGAGTTCCTCTTCCCTCCATTATACTCTAGTTTCATAGTTACTGAAAAATTCTTATTCATTTAATTCGATACTTTTCAGTCTTATGATACAGCCTACGTACCCTTTAGACCCATTCATGATGAATAATGCTTACCCCTCTCGTATTACCGCGACTGCTGGCACGAGATTGGTCGGGATTAATAGGAAAGTACAGTCATTATCCTCCTTTCCGTTAGGACTTTATCAAATAAATGTATTCGTCCTTCTAGGTGACTGGTTCAGCCTTTCGGCCATTGACCAATATTCCGCACTGCTGCCTGAAAAATTCAGTGTGGGCCTTTCTCATTCCCACTGTGGTTAATCATCCTCTCAGACTAACTATAGATCATTGGCTTGGTAAGCCGTTACCTTACCAACTACCTAATCTATTCAATAGGTACATCCATAGGCGGAAATTATCCTTTCAATATTTGGTATTCCACCAATCCTATGGGTAGTTTGCCTATTCATTACTCACCCGTTCGCCATGGTCCAAATATATAATATTTGGCATTCGACTCGCATGTGTCAAGTCCCTAGATAGCATTCACTCGAAACTAAGTTTAAATTTATACTTACTTTTCTGATAAATAACATCAGAAATTAAAATCTTATTGTTACTTATATAAAACTAATCTTAGTTGTTAATCTATTAGATTAACACTCAATAAAATGGTTAATCTAAACTTAGTTAAGAGTATATAATAATATAGAGCAAATTAAAAATATTCAAGTTACATCTATAATAATCTTAGATAATCTATATAATTCTTTACTTGTAGAATACTGTCTAAAATTTGAAATAATTAATCAGTATAGTTAATACATGTTTTATAATTTTCCTTAATATTTTGTAATCTCAATCAATGTTTCTGTAATATTTATTCTCAATCGATCTGTCTGATCGAAATCAAACAATCATTTGGATATTATAAACAGACTATAATAAATTATGACGGACTCCTGTATAGTTTAATCAGTTAAGAAAACATAAAATAACAGAATAAAGTTTTTAATCTACTTCAATTAATTGGTCGAGCAATAGGTAAATTTTAATATTTCTCTCAATAAAGGATTTATGAAAATATCTTAACAAATTTGTAAAAATTTATAATAATTAATTTATCAAGTTAAACCAGCTCGATTTAGTATAAAAATAAGATGGATTAATTCATCGATAAAATACAGACTACATTAATTCGTTGATAAATATTGTATTAGGCTTAATTCATACTTATTTTATATAAAGGTATTCTAAAAGAGGGTGTTATTAATTATAAAGTGCAATTACTATACGCAGTATAGTAATAGGAATGCCATCATTAATGCAAATAGACAGGCTATCATTTAATAAGGAAAGGAGAGGTTATTCTTTTTCTTTAGATACAATATAATATTCACCTCTAAATAATTGATTTGAATCTAAAAATTTATTGATTGTTTTTGTGTCTGCTTTGAAATGTTTAGCAGCTCCTCTAATCGACTTAAATGTAAACAATAAGTTATTATCCAATGAAAAAACATTAATAGAAATTCCTGGGTTTGGATCTACAATTCTTCTAGATTGATAAGCACTCATTATAGTTTTAGATTCTAAAGAATGAGTTTTTCCGTAAAATGGATTATCTTCTTTTCGTCTAGTTAAACTTATATTAAGTTTTGTTTCTAAACTATGATTTCTACCTTTTATAGTTGTAGAAATCTTTTGCTTTGTTTCTTCCAAATATTTATTACCTAACCAGCTTCCTGCAATTGTAAGAATATTATAGCTAGGAGTAATAAAGTCAATCCAATACTGTTCACTTCGAATTAAACTTTGTTTATTATTAAATTCTAAAATAATCAAGCTAAATTGATCCATTCCATATTTTTGCATAGCTCTAACAATAGGTAGATGTTTTCTATTCTTAATGTAAGAAAATTGGTAATAATCATTTGTTCGTGCTCTTAAGTCTACTGCTAAACCTACGTACATATTTCCTGTAGGTTTACAATACCAACAATAAATTCCAGAACAATTATTAAGTTGTTTTGATATAATATTTTTGCTAAAAAGACTATTTGAAAAGATTAAAATAGGAAAATCAAGATGTTTAATATTAATATCTTCTTGATTTAATCGTTTTAGACATTCAAGAATAGTTGATTCAGAATTATTTAAATCATCAATGGAAATTAATTCAATAAGTTTATTCTCTTGAATATTTGCTTCAAGCGAAATACTATTAACATAATCCAATGAAATTTGATCGAGTAATCTTGTAGAGTTATTAGTATTAAATTCTACAAAATTAATTTCAAGTAAGATTAATTTTACTAAATATAGTAAATCATTAATATTATTATTAGGAAATAAGATTTCAAGTTTATCTTTAACAAGTTCTTGGATAAACTCAATATTGAATTTATTGAATTCAACATTATTATTAGTTTTCAAGTAATTAATAATAGATAAAGTAATTAATAATTTTACAATTAAAATTGTTTTCATATTTTTATAATTAAAAATTCTTTCTTCCCGAGGAACCCTTTTAGGTAGCCGAGAGGATTAATCGTCATCTGGCCATTAGAACCATATAAATTGATTATATATTACATATCATTAAGAATCTATAATATTAGATTAATGATAGGATTAATGAAGTAGGAGGGGGGCCCAACCAGTTAGGTTGAACCAGTTTGAAAGTAAGATTATTATACAACTAATTTGTACAATATTCTTTACTATAAATACAGATTACGCTGCGTATAATAGTAAGAAAGCCATCATAAGTGCAAATAGACCAATAGCCTCTGTTAATGCGAACAGGCATTAGGAGACTATATAATTAATGCGGATGAATACAATAAAAGATTACTTAGTTTTAAGAACAATATAATATAGTCCTCTAAATAGTTTTCCGGAATTTCTATATTTAGCTAATGTAGCTTTATCTGCTTTAAGATATTTACTCAATTCAGTCATAGAAATAAATTCTTGAAGGGTATTATGATAAATATTTTGTAAAATTACAGGTGTAGAATTGTTAGGTTTAGTTCTATTTAATGCTACCTGTCTCATTAAATTTTTAACTTCCTCTGTATGAACTCTACCATAGAAACTATTATTTTCTTTAGTATATTTACCTAGTTTAGCTTCACTCATTTTTCGAATAGATTCTAAAGTATGTTTATAACTTGATGAATTATAGGCATATTTAAGAATATTATATGTTGGGTTTAATAAATCAAGATAATACTGTTCTCTTTGAATTAAATCAGATTCTTTACAATACTCTAGAATACTTAAACTAAAGTTGGAATATCCATATTTAACTAAAGAATAACAAATAATACTTTTACCTCTAGAAGGATGAGTAAGATACGAGTGTCTATAATATTGTAATAATCTTTTATTTAGATTAACTGCACTACCAACATAGATCTCTCCAGTTAATAAATTAGTCCATCGGTAAATACCTGTTTTATCTTTAACATCTTTAAGAATGTTGGATTTATTTAATTCTGCATTTGTATAAGTCAACACAGGATTAATAGAATTAATATTAGTATTTTTATTATCTGAAGATACTGTATAGAATCTAATATTTAATAAGTTAATTGATTGCATAAATAAGTTTGTCATAATTATTTGTTATGATTAATTGGTTAAGGATAAAATATAAAGACAGGAAATATGGTCTCTATATAGTAATACATTATATATTATTAAAGAATTTCTATAGCTATATAAATCTATAGAAGTATTATTCTTACTTATATCCCGATGCAATATATTATAAAATCTATAGAAGAAAGAATAGGGGGGTTACTTTTTACAGTAACCCTTATGTTATAGATTTGATAAATCTACTACTAGTATATACAGAAATTACGCTGCGTATAATAGTAAGAAAGCCATCATAAGCGCGAATAGACCAATAGCCTCTGTTAGTGCGACAAAAATTGTTATCATAGAAGCTCTTTATCCTCTATTTCAGTCTGTTACCAGACTGTTCAGACTATGTCATCAACCTGTAATTATAGTATTCAGGTTGTCGGGCACTCGTGTCCGGATTATTGCTAGTACTGCTCACCGATTAGTCGTTGAACGTTCATATACCTATTTGAGTACTGATATATGCTTCGCTGCAAATTGTCTCATTATATTAGAGAGGTCTTTGCAATTCACCCGATTTTCCTCAGGATCTTACGATCCAGGGGGGCACACACTTTACCCAAGAATTGTGTAAGAGAATAATTGAGGTCGTAGAGATGGGTTTCGAGAAGTAGAGTTAATTAAAGCGGCAAAAACAAGCCCAACTCCAACTCCTGCACCTGCTAGTCCAATTGTTGCTAATCCTGCTCCTAAAATTTTAGCTGCTGCTACCATAATAGAATAGATAAAGTTAAACAAAATTTAAATGAAAAATAAACGAATAACTAATTACATTATTGATATTATTTATAATACCTATAATGTGTGTCAAGATATATTACTTATATTAATACAATTTAATGTTTTTAATTTCCAAATTTAAATTACTAATATTGAGAATGTCTTGGTCAAGATGTTTTTATATACGTGTTCATAACACTTATCGATAAAGTTTACCAAAAAATTATTTCTAGTAATTTTATCTCCTAGGAAATATTGGATCTTAGACCCTAGATCGATATCTTAGATCTAATTATCTTATAGTAACCCCAATCGGAATCGAACCGATATTTCCATAGTGAAGTTATGATGTCTTAACCGTTTGACCATGGGGTCTTCTTTCTTTTATTAAGTCAAAATTTAATCCTTATGATAAATTAAATTATAAAATAATCCTAAAAAAGACCACTTACTTTATTAATCCTAAAGGTCTCTATCCTTAATTTATATTAAAGAGGTTGAATATTAGCTTCAATACAAAGTAAACTTTTTTCTTATTATAATAAGTATGTGAGTAAAGTATTTAAATTAACTTTGGCTTTTAAATGGACTTTGTAAATTTGCCGTTGGAACTTATTTTACTTGATTTATTTTATTTTAATCTATTTACTTACGATATCGTTATGGAAAGACGCAATTAGGTACCAAAGAATAGGATGATTTATTCTTATTTAATATTAATAGTTAACTATATAATTATAACTATAACTGGTAATTAATAAATTATTGTACATCTTTAATTTAAAGATAACAAAATTATTAATTAATTGATTGAAATAAAAAGATTGCAGAAAAGTAGAATTTACTCTAAATTCTTTTTCTAATATAATTTAGTGAATGTTCTTAAACTTAAGGAGTTTATAAGCTATTATTATAATTAATTTTAAAATTTTCAATTTATTTAGTTTCTTAACAAGATCAAATTTATTTTAGATAATCTAATACAAGGGATTAAATTTTGTATTACTATTACTAGTTAATAAATTATTAATCGTCTCATGTTTAAATTATTAATAAAAAATTAGAGTAGATACTAAAAGAATTATAGTAGATACTAAACTAATAAAGCCATCTAGACTAGAAAAAAATATAGAATAATTGATCTACAAAGATAGTTAGTAAATAATTTATCGAAAGTGGTTAACAACATATTCAAAATAAAGATTAATAGACTAAGAAAACCAACTTAATTTAGAAAATACAATATCAACAGTATATATAAAACATTACATATTATTCTTGGAAATGGTATTATTATAATTAATATATTTAATTATATATTTAATTAAACTTAAGATTATTTAAACTCAAATTAAGTATAAAAACTATTTCCTAGTATTGATTCTTTAAGTAATTCCTTTATATATAGAAGGGAGAGTATTAATTTAAATTAATTTTTTTAATAAGTTAGAATTATCCTTGCTCGTTTAACCAAGCTAAGTATTTTTCTAATGATACTGCTTCTACGGCAATAGGCATAAAGAAGATTATTTTATAATTCAGCTCAATTAAATCTGAAATTATTACTTAATTAAATTAGAGTCAAAGGATGCGATATAAATACCATTTTTGGTAATAATAGGTTTACCATCAGCAATTCTTCTACTTAATGTTCTTAATGAAGTATTTAAAGCGATAGCTGCTGCAGCTTTGGTATTATATTCTGTTTTATTAGAAAAGTCTAAAGTATATACATATACTTTAACTCCACCATTAGATAATGACATTTTATCTCTAGTTTCTTGAGAAAGAACTCTACCGGTTAATTTCTCTTGAATTAATTTAATAGTTTCAGGAGAGAAAGTTCTATTTTTCATTCTATTTGATCTTTCTAGTAATGCTTCTTCAGATACTACATAGCCACTAGCTCCCTTATTAGTTAATCCACCTACATTAACAATAATATCTAAATTTAAACTAGGATTAAGAACATCAATACAGTATTGTTCTGTAATTAATAATTCATATTTTGTTAAAAGTCTAAGTAATTTAATATTCTCCTTAGTTAAAGAGATATTAGGATATAAATTTTTAAACAATAGTTCATAATTAGATACTAAAGTTAAGACTCTAATGTTCATAACTTCCCAACCATATTTATTGAGATAATTATATAGTTTAGGGTGTCTTTTAGGATCAGTTAATGTATAATTTTTATGATTTATTAATCTTTTATATAAGTCTGTAGAATGACCAATATATGAAGCATTATGAACAGTAGAAAATAACCAATAAATACCTGGCATTTTAGTGTATTTACAAAGTTCAGTAAATGCTTTAGGAGCTTGTGAAGCAAATAAAAATGGTTTTTTATTTTGGATATAACTAGGTAATTCTAATTCTTTAATTAAATCTAATCGATCTTTAGACAATCTATTTAATACAAAGTTCTTAAATTCCTTACAATCCGAATCATTAGATAAATTATTAGTAATTTTATCCTTAAATTGATTAATAAATGGATTTGCATATAAGTTAGTGCTAATAGATAAATAATTTTTATTATTACTGAAAGAAGTAGAATGAAATAATAGTTTAGTATTTACTAGATGACTATTATTTGTTCTTTTGGAATAAACCCTTCTTGGGCTAATTAATAGAAGCTTAAAAGTTATGAATAACATAATAAAATATAATAATTTATAAGTTAAGAACAAAACTATCGATACAGGAAATATGGTATCTATAGATTATAAACATATATTATCTAGGAAATTAATATAAATAACAATATATTATCTATCTTTATTTATAATTAATAGGCATAGAATTAATATGTTACTTATAAATATAATGCCTATCTAAAATAAATATTTATTAAATAAACTAATATAACCTTTATAAAAAGAGAGGGGTGGGAATTAATTTGTATAAATTGAATTAATAATGAAGGCTATCCTTGTTCATTTAGCCAAGCAAGATATTTCTCTAAAGAAACAGCTTCCACAGCGATAGGCATAACATTTGTCTTAAGTCTTGTTCAGTAATACTGAAATTAATAGACTTTGGAATGATCCACCATAACTTTGATTATGGATGGGACTATATCTTATCAACAATATATTGAGTATTACTTGTAGTCTCTGAGGTATAGCTACCTGCGAATTGCCTATTATTATCTTAATTCGCTATTACCTTCTAGGTAGAATTAGCTTTAAGGCTTTCTCGCATTTAGTAATATTTTAGTCATTCTAGACCGGGCTTATGTCGCTACCCGTGATGAACTCCACAAATTTCTGAACATTGTCCGTAATAAACTCCTTCTCGTTCTACTAAAACTGAAGTTTGATTTAATCGACCAGGGATTGCATCAATTTTTAGTCCTAATGAAGGAATTGCAAATGAATGAATTACATCAGCACCAGTTACAATAAATCGAATATGAGTACCAGTTGGAACTACAACTCGGTTATCTACTTCTAATAATCGTAATTGACCTTCTTCTAATTCATCTGTAGGAACTAGATAAGAATCAAATTCAATAGACTCTCCGTCTTCGTTAACAAAATCAGAGTACTCATAAGACCAGTACCATTGATGTCCTAATGCTTTAATAGTCATTGCTGGATCAATTACTTCATCCATTAAATATAGTAATTTAAAGCTAGGGAAAGCAATTGCAATTAATACTAAAGCAGGAGTAATAGTCCAAATTAATTCAATTACTGTACCATGATTATGATATTTGTAAACAATTTTATTTTTATTAGAGCTAAAGTTAATAATAACTGAAGATAGCATCCAACTTACTCCAAAAAAAATAATCACTAAGTAAAACATAATTTGATTATGTAATTCTACAATTCCCTCATATGAAGGTGAAGCACCATCTTGGAAAGCTAATTGCCAAGGCTCAGGAGCATCATTCCATACAGGAGTAATGATATTAAATGATTTAAGCATATTTAACATTTATTCTTATTACGAGATCCCTTAGATAAAATAAAGAAATTTAATTAATATATTTTAATTATTAATACATGTTTAGTTATCCACTTATATTATTACTGAGGATTATTTTATTAAGTTAAACAGTAATTATATAATTTAAGAGGATTTACTAAATTATTAAACTAATAATTGAATAAATTATTGATTATCCATTTGATTATACTAGTGTAATTCAATAGCATCTTTTAGATACGAACAAGTTAGAATTGTGAAAACGTATGCTTGAAGCATAGCAATACCTAGTTCTAAACCTGCAAGAGCTGTTAAGAATAATAGAGGTAATACACTTACCAGTAATAAAACTGGTCCAGCTACTACCATCTTCCAAGTGAATGTAGAAATAATTTTTAATAGAGAATGTCCTGCAATCATATTTGCACCTAATCGAACACCTAAACTAACTGCTCGAGCTAAGTAAGAAATTAGTTCAATCGCTACTAATAAGAATACTAATCCAAATGGAGTACCAGCAGGAATGAAGAAAGCAAAGAATCCTAATCCATGTCGTTGGAAACCAATAATAGTTACTCCAATTAAAATAGTTGTACTTAAACTTAAAGTTAATACAAGATGAGAAGTAGCAGTGAAAGAATAAGGTACTAAACCAATTAAATTACTAAATAAAACAAAATTAAATAAAGCAAAAATAAATGGTACATATACTTCGTTAGCTGATCCTACTTGATCTCGAACCATATTTAAAATAGATCCATAAACAGATTCAGAGTGGATAGCCCATCGAGAAGGAATTACATAACCATTATTTTGAGATAATACGTTCATTCCAATAGTAATAGTAACTACTAAAATTAAATAGAATCCGATATTAGTTAAAGATAATTTAGTAAATCCAAAAATTGGAGCTAAAATAAATACAAAATCGTTAATTTCAAATTGCTCTAGTGGATTGTTAACTAAAAAAGTAGTAGCTAAATTTGACATTTTTTTATTTGTTTGTGCTTTTTTATCTGATCGGTACCTCTAGTTCTCATAAACCTGATTAGGCTAATTTTAATTAAAATTTTTGAGAGAGAGAACGGATGTAAAACATCTATCCGGATTAATTTCCAGACTACTCCATTATCCAGTCTTTTTCTAAAATACAAAAATTCTTACATTTATTGTATTCGGAGAAATTAAAAATAGATTGGATAAGAAGTAAGGCCACCTTCCTTATATTAAAAATTAATTAATAAATGAATGAAATAATCATTACTTCAAAGATAGAATAATCTTTATCTTAAATCTAATCAAGATTTAATTCAAAACTAGAGTACTTTCATTTGAGCTGACAAATTTAATCTTAATTCTAAATGTGATTTGAAAAAGAAATTTTTTAGATTTATAGTAAGTAGTTATTATTAAATTATAAGTAAGTGTTTAAA